ACTGTGCATCCTAGGTGTCAAAATATTTTTACATGTCATCATTTTCAGTCAAGAAACGGGACACGTAGGTTGATATTTGACGGAAGGACCAAATCGGGGTAAAAATGGTAAACAGTAGGGACCAAATCAGGGATTTTTTTAGTTCAGGGACCAAATAGGAGGTCCGTACAATAGTCCAGGGACCAAAAAGGGGTTTTAACCTTTTTATTATTATTATGAGCTGGGGTAATTTTTTGGGAGGGGGGAATCGGGACAAGAAGGCTTAAAAACTGCTCCAGTGAATTACCTCACAAGGCAACTAACCTTTTTTCTTCTTCTCTTTGAACAAATTTGAAATTATTTACATATTAATTGGAAAAAAAAAATCTCCTAAAATTCAAATACACTATTCACAAAAAGTGAATAGTTTTAATCCAAGTTTCATATTACTGGATCAGATAAGACTATTCAACTAACCTTTCTTCTTAAATCTACTAGGTTCAATCTATTTTATTTTTTATTTTTTTGGTACATAGAGATTAGAATTTAAATTTCAGAAGCATATATAATTAAAAAGATGAATAACTCTGAAAAATGCTATTGGGATAATCTTTTTATCTTTTTTTTTTTTTGTACAACTTGATATGTTATTAAAATGATTGATTCTTTTAATTCATGTGGGACATGTGATATTGAATGCATCAATTTATTTAGTAATATATGAAAGTTGTATAAAAGATGAGATAAAAAGATTGTCCTTATAACACTACCCAATAACTCTACCATTAAATCACACAAGTCTAACAATTCTTTTTCCTTAATAATGCAATAGAATCCATTTTTGAACACAATTAAAATCATAATAATGTAACAAAATCAAACAATATTTACAAAAGGAAATTCTTATCTCATTGGTAAGAACTCATGATTATAAATAAAATATTGAGCACAAATAAAGATATAAAATAAAAATAGATCAAATTCAATACTAGATTAATATTAAAGAAAAATAACAAATAAATCACACGAATAATTTTTAAAAAAATTAATATTTACATATTTTTTTATCTAATACTCTAATATTGCTGAACACCTTTCAATCTATTCTTAAAACAAATTAGCACAATCTCCATAATACCGTGACTAGAAAATTCATACTAATAGTGACCAATCACTAATTTCTTTTGTATTGTCTTCGTGGCCATCATAGCTGGATGCAATCAATGTGAATGGTATCTTGGTATATAAGAATGTTTGTCAACAAAAATGAGCTTCTAGAAACTGTTTTGGGCTGCAATGTTTCAGACTTAAGTCTGGACCATGACGCGGCCCCTTATGCAAAGTGCAAACCGACAGATAAAACGGGGGTGGGCTGTGTACGTGTGACTAGGAAAATCCATCTACGCGTCTAATCATCTTTCACATTCCAATTCCAATTTAGATTTCGACTTGCTGGTACCGCCTCTCTGCCTATAAAGATCCTCTTTTTCTTCAATTCATCCAAAAAAAAACCCATCTTTTTGTTCGAGTCCTAAGCAAATCCCCTTTCATTTCTCTCTGAATTTCTTTGGTTTTTCAAGTCCTTTGTTGGGTGCTTTGAAATCCTAACATACAAATGGCTTCCCAATCCAGTAAGGGATCAATCTACGACTTCACTGTTAAGGTTTGTTTCTTCAAATTAGGCTTCCTTGGTTATTTTTGTTTTTACTTGTGTGGATATGGGTTTTATCTGTCTTTGTGTACATTACAGGATGCTAGAGGGAATGACGTTGAACTCAGCAACTACAAGGGAAAGGTTCTTTTGATTGTTAATGTTGCCTCACAATGGTAAACCTATCTGACTGTGTCTCTCGGTTTCAGGATAATTGATATTCTTTTAATCCAATTGACTGTGACTACAGTTTCTGTTTTTCTTTCATCTGATTTATTCTTTTTGTTGATGTGATTGTTGATGCAGTGGCCTCACCAATTCTAACTACACTGAGCTGAACAAATTGTATGAGAATTACAAGGGCAAAGGTACACTATAGTACATTTTTCTTGTAAATTTGCGTTTTCATGTATATGGAGTCTCTTGTGGCATTTTCCTGGGGAGGATATCTATTGCCATGGAGTGGTACTCTACCTAATGTTATTTGTTTTGTTTTTTCCTTTCTAATTTTCACGTTGTTAATGTATATGATATGTAAAATCACGTTTTGTTTATAGCGAACGTGTAAAAATGTGTGCTTGCTTGCTTGCTTGGAGCTTTTGATTTACTCATTTCATTTGTTGAGGCTCGAGGGGGGCATGATATTGGAAATTGGGAATGCTCCTAATTTCCCCTTCTAATTGTCCTTACTCACATGCTCTTTTTTGTCTTGGGGAGCAGATTTTGAGATTCTGGCATTTCCATGCAATCAGTTTGGAGGTCAGGAGCCAGGGAACAATGAACAGATATTGGAGTTCGCTTGCACTCGCTTCAAGGCTGAGTTTCCAATATTTGATAAGGTAGGAAATTGTCTTACAATTCAGCAAATTTCTCTGAAACCCTTTTGCAACACAAGATGGATTCATAAATAAGGTGAAGCTACTTGGGTGATCTTTTAAGTTAGATGGGCAAAGTTTGAAAATGCTTCTAGAATCAAGTATTTAATATCACTCTAATTAAAGAATGTTGTGGTATGTAATAAAAATGAAGGTTTTTTGGTATTGACTCTTTTCCTTTTCTTCATGGGATTTGAGAGTCAATGTTCTATGTTTGTTGAAGTTACCGGAATGGTATTTCATTCTTGTCCTCTTAACACAGGTTGATGTGAATGGTGAGAATACTGCTCCAGTTTACAAATTCTTAAAATCAAGCAAGGGTGGACTTTTTGGGGACAGCATCAAGTGGAATTTCTCCAAGTTCCTGATTGATAAGGAAGGCAACGTTGTCCACCGTTATGCTCCCACAACTTCTCCCCTTAGCATTGAGGTAAAAACTGTTTGTCATTAGTTTCACATTATTTGACCATTGAATTTGAGTTTCATTAATCTGATTGAATAATCGAGCCCTAACCGATGCCCTTTCATTTTGCAGAAGGATGTAAAGAAACTGTTAGGTATTGCTTGAGCTTGCTCGTCAACTTGCCGGAAAATAAAGCCGACATAACCATTAGTGCGGCAGTGCCATGGGGACAGTTCTATGATTTTATTTCCTTAGTTATGGTCAGATGGGAGTTTGTAAGTTTTACTTTAATAATGTAACTATAGATTCAAATTATGCTCAGATCATTTTCTATCATGTATGCTAGTTACTAGTGCACTCCACCACCACATAAATGCAGCTCTTACCCTGCATAGGTTGATCATGACATGCAACATTTTATCTTAGACCATGTGGTGATCTGGTAATAGAATTACTTATGTTCTTAACCTACATCTAAACTTCAATCTCTAGTCTCATGTAAAAAACAAAATGACAATGCAATATTTACTTTGAAAAAATCTCCTAGCTTTTGTAACTCAGCAAGCCAATGATTTTAACGAAATATAATTTAGGAAATTGATTAACAATACTATCTTAAAACAATGGCTGAAATTTCCTGCTAGGAAGGATTATTGTGTCTCACTCCAGACAGCAGGGGAACTTCAATTACATTAACCTCATAGTCATAGTTACACACTAGGTTAGCACAAGCCCTATTGCTTGCCCCTACAGGCGGGCAGGGAGGATTTGAATTTCCATGGTCGCCAGGTACATGTACAACAACACATATGTACAAAAACTGCCATGTGTTTGTTGCAGCAAATGATCATCCTCGCATCAAGTCAATATCAGTGTGGGGAGTTCTCAGGTCAACTGGCCGAGAACCAGGCCAAGCACTCATTGCAGCCGGATTGTAATGTTGGGTGGGAGGTGCACTACTTGGTGTAGCTGATTTATTGCTGGCTTGCAGTGCAGAGTCCTTGTTCTCTTTGGGACTAGCTAGTTGCTTATTCTTGCTCTTAGATCCTCCATAGACGAAGCTGCATACTATCAGCTGCAGCAAGTGAAAGCATGTTATTCATTAGTGTTCAGACTCGTAGCTGAGCACATGTTACTGCCTCTTCCACCCACCGACCATAAAAATTAAGGAGCTTAGACAAGGAAAACATTGAATGTTGCGTAAAGAGATTTTATCAACGCATGTTCATGGGACTCCAGTATATAGTTACAAGGGTTCACACACGCATTGAATGACCCTACTCAAAATTCTATCTACAAGCATATTCTGCACCTTAATATTATACTAAACATATGATGAAAGTCCAGAAGTTCACCTTTTAAAATTTGAAGTAGAACAGAGCAATAAGATTTCAATGGAAAAGAGTGAACTGAATGAATGAAATTCAAGCATTCAGCTTTCCAAATTCCAAATTAGGTCAGCTCCTAAGTGCAATGATAAGAAAATAGCAGAGTAATCAAAAAGATACCTGAACTGGACTTGCGGCAATCAGGTTTGCGACTCCACCACCCATAACATGACCATCAGGAGTTGAAAGAGAAACACTTATACCACCAGTTCGACCGCGGGGTCCCTCATCCTCAGACACCAGATAAGAACCCGACAAGCATAATATCTCAAAAAAGCCCTAAACAAACTAAAATAAACCAAGTAAGAGCTCCTCAAATTAACTTTAAGAAAACCATAAATCAATCTAAGTTTGCAGCCCCAGAAAACCAAACACCCATTCCTCAATTATTTCCACATCCATCATCTTAGACCCTTCAACCTTACTAGTTATTACCACAGCTAAACAAACCTTCCCAATTTCAAAACTTGTGTTTTAAACTTGGTGGAAGCTATATGTTCCAAACCAAAGCATGAGAAAATCTCTTGGGGCCTACATTAAAAGTGGCATATACCCAAGACTAGTAGAAATGGTAAGAGATAAACTAATAGCATTTTCTGAAATTTAAAAAAACAAAAGGAAAACAAAAGATAAAAGAATATTGAGTGCTACAACCTCATATGTGACAGTGGGTGTGGTCGATGCAGGCTGGCGTAGTGTTACCGAAGAAACTGTCCCACTGCCAGACAAGATGCAGACAGCCCTTGGCCTTTGTTGTGCAAATGACAACATTTTTGATACAATATCCTACAAAATAGGACAAAAAAGAGAGCATCTGGTATCACGAAGTTTAATTCATCATAAAGAGAGATACATCTCTATAAATTTTTTTGGTAATGCATAACATATAAATAAGTAAATAACCATTCCATAGTTGTCACATGCAGCTATCAGACCAATTCTTTTGATACACGATTATCTCCTTTAATAAAGAGTATAGAACCATATGAGGTGAAATTTCATAGCATTTTACTTTCCTAATTCTCATAGAATTGAAACCTAAGAATCACAATAAAGGCCAAACTAGAACCACATGAAGGACAACCCTCAGCCAAATACTAGAAATAAACCGCCATAGAACCAGTAAAGCATTCTCCACATGTAAACCCTAAGTAATAAGTGATCACAAAGACCAATCTTGGCAGCTATGCCATAGCGGGCTTACATTTTCATGCATTAATTCAACTATGACATTTATTTGGAAAGCAGTAAACAAGACGCACTTGTATTGTATAAATATTGAAAACATAAAATACTGTAAAGATGCAGCTTACTTCTCCAACTCCAATGGTGATCACATGGGGAGAAAAAGCCAGGCCAGCTGAATTATTCATCCATTCACCTAGCAGAAACAATAATCAAGTAAGCACAAATCTAGATGCAACATAGAGAATTATATCAACATTCAAGTAGTCGCAAAGTTCTGCTAAGAGATGAACATAAACAGCCATTGCACACTAATGAATTACTCTCAAATCTGCCCGTCATTCCCTCTCAATTTATCTTCACAACAGAAGTGAGAGCCAGGAATGTGAATAGATGTCAAAATCTAAAGCTACCAAACCACAAATTTGAAGCCAAACTCTAGCAACAAAAGACACAAACCCAATTCCAACAAAATAAAACATCTTAACTTTACTCTAATTGCAAAGATTTAAAATCCAATAGAAACCTCACCTAAAAGTGACAGTTGCTGCTTCCTTCCAGACCCAGGAGGCCTCCCTCTGCCTCGTTTTTGCCCGGACGTATCTGATTCTGATGAAGGCTTGGACTTGGTTGGCATGGGCAAAAGCCCCAAGGACACCTGCCCTTCCGGAGCATATTTGCGGGGTCTTCCTCTCTTCTTCTTTACTGGCTCGCTAGATGGCACTCCAGAGGACACACCCATGTTAATGCCATGAGGAAAAGTGGCACTGGCACTGTTAGGTTCTACTGAAAATGGTGATCCTACATTCGATTGAGCCTGAAGCTGCGGATTGGTCAAGGACCTGAATGCAGGTGCGCCATGATATGCTGCAGCACCAGAATGGGTTGCAGATGCAGAACCAGACCCACCAACTCCTCCTCTATGAATGTAATAAGGAGTTGAGCCACCTGTTAATGCCATAGCTTCTCTCCCATCCATTCATTTAATATTTATAAGAAATTACTCCCTAGTTTAAATTAATAATATAAAAAAGACGGACTATTACTTGGCAGCTAAAGATTGCACCTTTATAACCCAAATGTGGAGCAGATTTAAAAATTGATGGTTGAAGCAAACGAAAAAGGAGATTTTGAGAAAAGGGTTCTACAAAGATCCTTTTTTTTTCTTCTTCTTAAATGGGAAAATCCTTCAACAACAGGAAAAACATCTCTAAATCTCTGCTTAAAAGGAAATTCAAAGAAGTCCCCGTTCAACCCTAGACTAGATATTCAACAACAACAACAAACACAACAGTGCTTCATAACAGGGTTTTTAAGGTGTTTTTCATTAAATGAGGGAAATATAAGAATCAAAGAAGCCTCAATGGTAGAACCACAGAAGCAAGAAACAGCATTAAAGGTTGGGCAGTATCACTTCCAAAGAAAGAAACCATGAGCACCCCTCACTCTGAACAACAAAAATGCTAAGAAATCTAAAGACCCAGATGAAAATCAGAAACACAATAGCCCTGCAACCAACCCCCAACCCACTAAGAAAAAACAAAACCCTAGATTTGCAATCTAGGGTTTTGGGAAGATGAATGCAATAAGACGAGGATGAAGAAAGAAAAAAAGTGAATTGAGTGAAAGAAAGAGATGAGGAAAAAGACAGAGGATGAAAAATGATTTGAAAAAAAAATGAGGGCTTTTGAATTAAAGAAATAAAGAAAAAGAGGTTGAAGAACTTTTGTGGTCTTTTTCTTTTTTGTTTTTTTGCTTCCCTTGAGTCCAGTGGCGGTGTGCTAAGGTCATCCCCACCAATGATTG